CTCCTCTCCCCTCCTCCTCCTCCTCCTAATATTCCTCATCCTCATCCTGCTCCTCCCCCTCTTCCCCTGATCCTCCTGCACTGCTGCTGCTGCTTCTCCTCGTGCTCTTCCTCCTGCTACTCAATCTCCTGCTCCCTCTTCTACCCCCCTGCCCTCCCCATCACCCCGCCCCTCCCCTTCTCCCCCTCCTGTCTTGCTCCTCCTCCTCCTCCTCCTCCTCCTCCTCCTCGTCCTCCTCCTCCTCCCCCTCCCCCTCCTCCTCCCCCTCCTGCTCCTCCCCCTCCTGCTCTTCCTCCTCCTGGATGTGGAGTTCTGGGGCCGCACTCGCGGGGCCGAGGGGGGGTCCAGGGATCGTGGAGGATTCCAGGGGCCGAAGATGGGTCTACAGGCGTCAACGCGGGTCCCGAGAGTCAGGGGTCCAAAGCCCAGGGTCCAGAATCCATCAAGGGCCGGCGAAAAGGAGGAGGAGGAGGACGAGGAGGAGGAGGAGGAGGAAGAAACCGGGGAGGAGACGAAGGCGAACGAGGACGAGGGCGAGCACGAAGACAAAGGGCGAGGAGGAGGCGGACAACGATGACGAGCAGGGGGGGAGTCTGGGCAGTTCTCTGTTGGGCTTCGGGTTTCGTTCCCCATTCCCTGGGGTGGATTTACCGCTCCGGTTCGGTCTGTATCGGTCTGATTTGGCCCCATTCGGTCCACGAGCGATCTTGGTTCGGTTCTCTTCGGGTCTTTACCGCGACTATTCCGGTTCGGTTCGATTCGTCTTGGAGGGGACGTTGGTTCGCGGCCGTTCGATTCAGCCTGGTCCAGTCCAGGCAGTTCTGGAACCTTCCTGCAATGAAACACTGCGACGGAGTTACGCCAGGAAGGAGGCAGCACAGTACGATATTTCCAAAGCTCCAGGAGGGTCGGCCGTCAGGACCTTCTGGAACGAGATCCGCTGTCGACGGCACTGCTTGCCGTGGCATCCTTTGGCGCCATGATGCCGTGACTAGAACCTAAGCGCGCGTAGCGCGCGCGTGGTTCTAGTATATATATATATATATATATATATATATCGAAGACGCCTACGGCGAATCACCGCCGCCCCCTGCCTTTTTGGAAGCGCCTATGTGGCCGAACGTTGAGGCCAGACCTGCCAAGCTATCGGACCACGTGTTCCCCGAATCGGTTTGGAAAGCCTTCGGGGAACACGTGGGCATCTTGAAGGTCATCTTGGCCGTCTTGGAGGCCTCTTGGGCAAGCTTTGGGCGATCTTTGGGGCTTTTTGGGCCGTCTCGGGCCAGCTTCGAGCCAACTTCGGCCATCTTGGTGGGTTCCTGGCACGTCTGAAGCCGTCGGAAGCCGTTTGGGGGGCCTCTATGGGCCGACTTGGGGCCCGCTTGGAATGCTCCAGGGCCGTCTTGGAGGCCATCTTGGGCGTCTGGGAGGCCATCTTGGGCGTGTTGGAGGCCTCTTGGGCCCTCTTGGGGCCCTCTAGGGGCCATCTTGGAGGCCACTTGGGCCATCATGGGGCTCTCTTGGGGGCCTCTTGGGCGATCTTGGGGGCTTCTTGGGCCGTCTTGAGCCGTCGGAGAGCCGAAAAGGCGCAAATGCCAAAATCCTTCAAAAACCAAGGAAAATCAATGATTTTGGCCTCTTCGGACTCTCCTGGAGGACCTCTTGGAGGCCTCTTGGGCCGTCTGGGAGGCCTCTGGGGGGCCTCTTGGGCCGTCTTGGGCCGTCTTGGACTCTCTTGGGCCGTTTTGGAGGCCGTCTTGGACCATCTCGGGCGGACTTGGAGGCCATCTTGGGCCATCTTCGCGATTTTTTGAGGATGTCCCGAGCGAAACGGCCGTTTTTGGGCATTGACAGATGGATTTGGGGAAATTTGCGGGTGGCCGGCGGGACGGGCCGAAGCCCATTGGGGAGTTCTTTTAGAAAAAGAACCAAAACCAAAACCTGAATCATCCAGCACGCCGTGCACCCCTGCAAGCAGGGGGCGGCGGATATAGTGGTCTTCGGCCCATCCCACCACCGTGCCTGGGTTGTGGGACAGAATTCTCAGGGATGCTTCTTCGAGTCTCTTCGCGGCGCTCTCGGGGGCCCTTTTGGGAGCAGTCTTGGGGCCTCTTGGGGGGACCTCTTGGAAGCTTCTTGGGGCGTTTTGGGAGCCTCTTGGGGTCTCTCGGGGGCCTCTAGGGGGCCGGGGCCTCCGGGCCGAGGGTTCGACATACCCGTTCGGGTTCCCTGTCTGGGTCCCTTTTTGGGTCCGTCTTTGGGCCCTCTTGAGCCGTCCTGGGCGCCTGTTGGGCCGTGCTGGGGCCCTCTTGGGCCGTTTTGGGGCCCTCTTCGGGGTCTTTGGGGCTGTCTTGGGGCGATCTTGGGGGCCTCGTGGGCCGTCCTGGAGCGTCGGGAAACCGAAAAGGCGAGAAGGCCAGAAATCGTCAAAAACCAAGAATGATTTGTGCATCTTGGGGCCCCCTTGGGACGCCTCTTGGGGCACTCTTGGGAAGTCATCGGGGCCTCTTGGGGCCTGTTGAGGCAGGCCATCTTGGGCGTATTGGGGTACTCTTGGGCCTTCTCGGAGGTATCTTTTGGGCGCTTCTTGTTTGGCCGGCTGCAGCGCCAGAGGACGTCGACACGCCCGGTGAATCTCGGGGAGTCCCTGGAAATCCCTGGGAAATTTTTCGATATCCTGGGGGATCCCCGGAAATCCCCGGATGCCTTTTTGGAACCAGTGGCCCTGGCCCTTGAGATTTTTGGGCACCCTATAATTTTGAATTTCCCAGGGCTGCACGCACAGACACACACACACACACACATATATGTATATATAGATATATATAATTCACATGCACATTTTTTTATATACACATTCACATTTTGATATATGCATATATCTATTTGTGTATATATATATATAGGTATGTGTTTATATTTGCGCATCGCATAACACAACGTGCCTCTTTTTTCCCACGCGGGGCGTACGCTGAACGTCGTGATGACTGCACCACGCGTCCAACGACCACCCTCTGCCTTTCAACAAAATCTTCGAGACTAACGATGTGTTATGTGTGTGTGGGGGATCCACGAGGCATCTCATCGCCTACGTAAGAGGAGGCCACGTGGCTACGTGTCGTACCCTGCCGTACGCAGTTCCCCCCTGGCGCTGCCCACCTCCGCCCGAGGCCGCCGCATGCACCGAGCGGCTCGCTGCCCCCGCACTTCCCTCGACGAGCCAATCCGACCAAGCGGTCGGGCGGCGCGGCGGTCGGCGAAGCGGACTTCGACGACGACGACCTCTCCGCCCCCGCCCCCGCCCCCGCCGGCGGTGGTGGCGCTGGCTCGTCTGCACAGTCTCGGCTACCTGCAAGAGTGGCCCTCCGCCGGGGGCGCGCGGCGCCAAGCGCCAAGCGCGGGCACGCGGGCCGCTGCCGTCGCACCGCGCGCAGCGGCCGGCAGGCCGCGCACCAGAGGCCACGCTTGTTTTGCGCGCAGCCGCCAGCCCGGCGTGCGCGTGCTGGGCCGGACGCCGGTGGCGCGCCTGCCTCTTCGCTGGACGTCTGTCCCCGGCCTCGCGCCCCGGGCCCACCTGGTTCGGGGGCGCTTCGAAGGTCGGCCCGGCGCTGCGCGCTCTGGACACCTCCGTGGCTTGGCACTGGGGGGCGCTTGTCCACAACCAGTACACATCGCCAGGGGATGGATCTTCGGGTTCGGGGACCCCTGTAGGCTGTGCATATGGATCCATTGCCCCTCCCCATCCCAGCCTGGCAAGGTCTGGTTCCTTCCTCTTTTCCATCGATGAAGAAAAAACGCCATACACATAAACTGTTCTGGTGTTCCTCGCGGGCTTCTTGGACCTGCGCTGCCCCCCCCCCGTCCGCGGCGCCTCCAGCGGCGCCGCCCCTGGCGCGCTCCGGTCCAGCGCAGATCCAAGAAATCCGCGCGGAGCGCCAACAGTTAGTGTCCATGGCGATTTTTTGTTTCCGCCTTCTTCTTCTTCTTCTTCTTTCTCTTCTTCTACTCCTCGGCCTTCCCAGGCCTCTGGAGTACCTTTAAGTCGGGCCTGTCCCTCTACAGGAGGAACACTCAACAATGGTAAACAAATAGTCTGGGGACGATTTTTGGAGTACTTTTTGAACATTTGGGGGGCATGCTTGGAGGATCTTTTTGATTTTTCGCCCAACGTCCCCCGTGTAGGGGGGACAGGCCCGACCCAAGAGCACCTTGCCGGCGCGTCGTTCCCATGGGCTTCTGCCTCTCGGGGCCGTGCGCGGGCCCCGTTGGCGCCATCCCGCGTGGGCCTGGGGCGGGGGCCTGGCCCAAGGGAGAGGTGGTCGCGACCAGCCCGTGGCCCGCGGAGGGAACCCGTGACGTCGTTGGGTTCAAGCAGTGGCGAAGCGTCCTGGCTCGCCTATGGCCCTACCAAACACTGTTCTAAGAACCTCTTGTGGTTTCCACGAAATGTTCTTAGAACATTTCAGGTTGATCTTGCTTTGTTTTGGCACATCGGGTTTATGTTCTAGGAATTTTGTACTTGTTCTTAGAACGTTTTGGGGTTCTAATATTTTCGGCCTCCTGGGGGCCCTCACCGGCCCTCGGGACCATCAAAAAAGGGCTCGGGATGAAAAACCGGTGCAGGGGAATGGGCCCGGACCTCTGGGGGTCGCGTCATGAAAAAATCATGATGTCGGGGGTCTGGGTCTTGACGCCTTTCGCTGATTTCGGCGTGTCGGCCTCCCCCAGCCTGCGGCATGTTGCTGTCTCCGGCCTCCCCGTGCCTTCCCCAGAGCTGGCAGAGAGCAGCCCGATGTGAGCAGCTGCTCCGGCGGGTGCCCGCTTCCCTCCATGTGCATCTCTTCGAGTGTGCATTTCCCCCGAGGCACGCTTCCGAGGGTCCAGGACTCGTTTCTTCCAGGACATGTTTCCCTTCTTCCGCAGCCATTTCTGGCTCAAGCATTACTGTGGGTGTTTTTTTTGTTTGCTTTTTCCACGGTCTCTCGACTCTTGCTCCAGGCATGGCGTGCGGCACCTTTCATCCGCCCGCACGCGTTGCTGGAGGAGACGGTCAGCTGCCCCCAGTGCTCGAGACTCCGCGCGTGATGGCGGCCGACGCGGACGACGCACCGCCGCGGACGCACATCCTGTTCTCTAGGCCCATGCGCGACGAGGACCTCCTGCTCGCCACGCCCTTCGACGAGGACCTCCTGCTCGCCGAGCTTCCCGCGGCGGGCAGGGCGAGGCGGCCGCCCGCGGCCCTCCCGCGCACAACCCTGCGGCGCCCCGAGGGCCTGCCGGCCAGCGGGCTCCCGCCCGTGACGGCCGACGGCGCTTCAGCGACGCCGCGCTCCTGGGACGCCCCCCCCCCTTCGGCCGCCCCCGAGGCGCACGGGGCGCGGCGCGCCTGGGCCGCCGGGGCGCCGCGCACGGCGTCCGGCCCCGAGGGAGCCCACGGCGACGGCCCGCCCGCGCGGCCCGCCCCAGGGGGGCCGCCGTCGGCCGCGTCCCCGGCGCCCCGCTCCCCGAGGAGCGGCCCGGGCCGCTGAGGCGGGGCCTGCAGCGCCAGAGAGGCTCAGCGGCGCTCTCGCGCTCGCGAACTCTCGCGCTCGGCGGCGCCGGCGGCGCCAAGCTCGGGCGCGCGCGCGCGGGCGGGCCCTCGGCCCTCGTGCGCTCCGGAGCTCCGCTGCCCCGATGCGCCGGGGGGCCGTTGCAAGCACGTGCCGTGTTCAAAGCGTCCGTGGTTCAGAGGAGGAAGGGGCACCCATCCCGCTACCCTTCGCCCGTTTTCCCATTTGCCAGCCTCCTGGCAGGATCTCGTCGCCACCGTTGGATTCGCCTAGAAAGTCTGGTCAGAACATGGGAGAGGCCTGGGGAGTAGCGGTATCGGTACCTTTTGATTCCCCCAGTACGTGGTAGCACGTTGCGTGTTGGCTCATCGTGTTGGCCCACGCTCCGGCGAGCACAGCGCGCCAGACCTGTTTTTTTAGCTTGCGTGCGGACCCAGACCCCCGACGTCATGATTTTGTCATGACGCGACCCCCAGAGGTCCGGGCCCATTCCCCGGCACCAGTTTTTCATCCCGAGCCCTTTTTTGACGGTCCCGAGGGCCGGTGATGGCCCCCAGGGGCCGAAAATAGCGAAAAAGCTCCGTCGTGATTTTCTCTCGACGCGAGGAGGTCTGGGGAGCTCGCGCGTAGCGTGTCGGAGCAGCTGAGCTCTGGAGTGGTGCCCCTCTCGCTCTCCCCCTGGGCCCCGAGTGGCAGTCCACAGGGTCGCATCTCTCTCCTCCCGCCCCGAGGAGGAGGAGGAGGAGGAGGTGGAGGAGGAGGAGGAGGAGGAGGATGAGGAGAATGAGGAGGAGGAGGAGCAGGAGGAGGAGGAGGAGGAGGAGGAGGAGGGAGGATGAGGAGGAGGAGGAGGAGGAGGAGGAGAGGAGGAGGAGGAGGAGGAGGAGGAGGAGGGAGGAGGAGGAGGAGGAGGAGGGGGAGGAGGAGGAGGATGGAGGAGGAGGGAGGAGGAGGTAGGAGGAGGAGGAGGAGGAGGAGGAGGAGGAGGAGGAGGAGGAGGAGGAGGAGAGGAGGAGGAGAGGAGAGAGAGGAGGAGGAGGAGGAGGAGGAGGAGGCTCCTTAGCCATTTTGGCTCAAGTCCGTAGCGGTTGTGCTCGAGGACATTGAGTTCTGGCGGGAGGGATCTTGCGGCCCTCGATTGCTTTCTCAGGCGTTCGCCCGCCTGTCATACTCTCCAACACGTTCAGTCTACGGGACCTTCCTTTTCCCTGTTACTTCCAGCGATGGTGCCAGTTCTTTTTTTCTCGTATGCGCCATGGGTGCGTTCAGAGGAGTGGACTGCCACAGATGGAGGTGCCAAGGGGAAGGGGAAGCAGAAGGGCAAAAGCAAAGGCATGGCATGCTCGTACTGTGGCTGCACGAAAAAAGCTCCTGGCGACTCATGGTGCTTTCATTGTCATGCTCCTCTTCCTCGCCTGTGTGCCGGTCATTTTCCCGCGGCTCAAGGAGCTTGGTCACGTCAATCGTTGCCTCCAGGCGCCTTCTGGCATCCATTGTCGCGCATGGGAGGCAAGGCCTGCGTCGCGGACGTCTTCTCCTCTGGCGCCAAAGGGTCCAAGGGCGCCAAGGGCAAGGGCTTCGGAGGTGCAGTTGCTGGCCCTGCCCTGGAGCGTCTCAGACGTATCCAGGGCATGCCCCGCCCATGCCCGTCGGTGCAGTGCCCAACCTGTCCAAGGACGAGGCCACAGAGCGCGCTAGATTGTGTGACAAGGCGGGTGACAAGGCTGGCGCTGCCCGCTACTCCGATATCGCCACGCACCTTGGGGCGGGTGAGGCGCGCGCCAAGATCACTCCTTCGGCTCACCAGACTGCACAACAACAGCATGGTCAGCTTCGCCGTCTGGAGAAGCAGCTGGAGACTGAGTTGGCAAGAGTGCTCCGTTTGCAGTCTGAGGCTCAAGAGCAAGCGGAGAAGGTCAAGCGAGTTAGAGCTTAACTCCAAGATGCTGATCGTATTTGCAAGGATGCGGTCCAGAAGTTGGTGGAGGACTCCTTGGTTGCGCCCAGCCTTGCGATGGCCAAGCGGAAGCTTGAGGATATACTGTCAGGATCTGTCGATATCGGCTCCATCATCAACTGCGACATTCAGGAGGACTTCGCCAAGGATGAGGACCTGGAGCTGTCGGAGTCGGACCGTGAGGAGATATAGAAGCGCACGGCGGTCCTTTTCCAAGGGCATCTCAGACATGGCGAAGCAGCTGTTTCAGCAGGCGGTCGACCAGGGCAAACCGCATTGCTGGCAAGAGGCGTAAACGAGATGAGGGAGTCGCTGAGGCTGGTGGAGGCGCTGGCGTTGGCGATGCTGCCGACTGGCCTGCGAGTGGTGCAGGGGCCGTAGGCGAAGCCGAGGCTCCCAGGCAGCAGGAGCCTGCCCTGCTGCCGAGGCGTCGGCTCCAGATGTTCGCGCACGTGCAGATGCTCTTCTTCACGCCTCTGAGTGTAGTGCCGCCCCCCCTCTGCTTGAGGGGGGGGGGGGGTCGTTTGCGTCGGCGCCATGACTCGTTCGGCCGTTCGTCCAGTGTCTGTTTTTTTTTCCCGCGTCCTAAGTGGGGTTCTGGTTTTCTCTGGACTCCCCGCGCAGTCCTCACCCACGCCCCCTCTCTTCCTCCGCATCACTCATTCCCGCTCACTCCTTCACTCATCATCAGCACCATCATCATCATCATCGTTATCTTCATCAACCACACACTCAGACGCTTTCATGATCACCATCATCGCCACGCTCACGCAATCAATCCCTATTCATAATCACCACTCATTGACTCATCAGCATCATCAATCACTCAGCACTTCGTCACCACTCACTCCCCATCTTGACGACGGAAAGTGTCTCACGCGGGAGCCTCGTCTGTGATTGAATATTGAGGAAGTCTCAGGCGGAAGCCCTCTCCCTATGGGCCCCGTAGATCATGTTGCTAACCCGTGCGGGTCATACAGAAATTGTAGCTGTCGTCACTTTGGACTTCCTCTGGCTCGAGTATAAAGGAAGTTTCAGGCGGGAGCGTCGTCTGTGAGTGAATCGCGAGACAGTCTCAGGCGGGAGCCCTTTCCCTATGGGGCCCGTGTATCGTGTTGCTAATCCGAACGGGTCATCGGAAACTTGTAAGTGTCGTCATTTCTGGGCTCCTCAGGCTTGCGTATGGAGGAAGTCGCAGGCGGGGGCCTCGTCTGCGAGTGAATTGCGGGGAAGTCCAGGCGGGCGTCCTTTCCTCATGGGGCCCGCACTTCATGTTTGTAATCCGGGCGGGTCATCGGAAACTTGTACCTGTCGTCACTTTTGGGCTCCTCTGGCATGAGTATGGGCGAACTCTCGCGCGCGAGCCTCGTCTGTGAGCGAATTGCGAGGAAATCTCAGGCGGGGGCCCCCATCCCTATGGGGCCCGCATTTCACGTTGGTAATCTCAGCGGGTCATCGGCAACTTGTAATTGTCTTCACTTTTGGGCTCTTCAGGCTTGAGTATGGAGGAAGTCTCAGGCGGGAGCCTCGTTTGTGAGTGAATGAATCCCGAGGAAGTCTCAGGCGGGAACCCTTTTCTTATGGAGCCCGCACTTCACGTTGGTAATCCGAGTAGATCATCGGAAACTTGTATATGTCGTCACTTTTGGGCTATTCTTGTTTGAGTATCGAGGAAGTCTCAGGCGGGAGCCTCGTCTGTGAGCGACTTGCGAGGAAGTCTCAGGCGGGGGCCTTTTTCTTATGGCGCCCGCGTATCATGTTGGTAATCCGAGCGGATCATGGGCAACCTGTAACTGTCGTCACTTTTGGGCTCCTCAGGTTTGAACTCGGAGGAAGTCTCAGGCGGGAACCTCGTCTTTGAGTGAATTCCGAGGAAGTCTCAGGCGGGACCTCTTCCCGATGGGGCCCGCATTTCACGTTGGTAACCCCAGCGGGTTATGGGCAACCTGTAATTGTCGTTATTTTTGGCGGTCTTCAGTTTTGCATTGGGAGGAACTGTCAAGCGCGAGCCTCGTCTGTGGGTGACTGGCGAGGAAGTCTCAGACGGGAGTTTCTCCCTATGGGTCCCGCGCATCATGTTCGAATCCGAGGCGGGTCATCGGCACCGTGTAACTATCGTCTCTTTTTGGGCTACTCTGGCTTGAATTCGGAGGAAGTCTGGGTCGGGAGCCTCGTCTGTGAGTGAATCGCGAGGAAGTCTCAGGCAGGACCCCCTCCCTATGGGACCCGCACTTCATGTTCGAATCCGAGGCGGGTCATCCGAGCGAGCTTTTTGGGCTCCTCAGCTCCTGCGGTTTGAATGCGGGAAAGTATTCGGCGGGGGCGTTGTCTGTGAGCGAACTGCGGGTAGCCTCGTCTGAGCTGGTCGTCCGCAAATTTCTGTTGTCATGGGCTTGCGTGCCCGAAAGGGTGATTGAGGAGCTGACGAAGACGACGACGACGACGACGACGACGACGACGACGACGACGACGACGACGACGACGACGACGACGAGGCAGCGGCCGGGCGCAGGGGTAGCCCCTTGTGTCCGGGAGCCGGCGAGTTTCACGCAGACGACGAGCGAGACTACGAGGAACGCGCGCCGGGCCAGCTCTTTCGCCCCCGCGACCTACCGCAGGGAATCTGGATGCAGGTCCACGGCTTCAAGGAGTCCCCGATTTACGAGGAGGTCGCCGAGGTGTTGTTGCAGAGCGCCAAGGGCGCTGACTACGACGGCGCGGCCGAGGCGCGGGCGAGGAGCTTGCTCATGTTCAGGCCCAGCGAGCAGGAGCTCACGTGGCAGAGCTCGGGGCCGCACGTTGTGCGCCGCTCGGGGTTCACCCTGACGCGCGCGTCCTACCTGACCTCCGCGCTGTCGCAGGGTCAGACGCTGCGCAAGGGCGTTGCCATCGACTGCGCCAGGGATGAGGACGCGGGTCGCACGGGCATGTCGGACGAGCAGTGGTGGCTGCACCTCTACGTCATGTTCTCCCGCGCCACGCGCATGCGGAACATGCTGATCCTGCGGCCGCCCGCGCGAGACTTCCTGGAGCGCGGGCCGCCGGCGCCCCTGCGGAAGGCGCTCGAGGAATTCGACAACTGCATCGCGGCGACAGTTGGGGGTGCCCCAGAGGGCGCGCGCGCGCACTCGGATACCTTCCTCGCAAAATAGATCGCCGGGATTTCGCGTCGGAACGTGCAGCCTTCAGCTGCGACAGTCCTCTGGAAAGTCTACAGGTGGTCGTCTGACACAGCGCGCCAGTCCTTTTTTTCGTCCTGGAGATAGGCATGCAGGCTTTCCTACTGCTCCTCACTCTTATCAACGCCCCGGGGGCAGAGTCTTGGCGCAGGACGAATATGCGCCCGACATGGCGCCCACTCCTGCCAACGGCGCGCCCGAAAACGGAGACCCGCCACGCATAACAGAGGGTCAGGAGGTCGTAGATCCAGGAGCGCCCGCCAGTTGCTACAGTTTTCGCGTCGTGGGTGTGAACGAAGGTGTGACTGACAGTGGCCCGGGGCGTTCGCGACTGGAGGGCTCGCCTGACTCCTGCATGTGCGCGCGGGCCGCAGACGGGCGCGTCTTCGCGATCGGCGCAAACGCTCCGGCCGACGCCTCCGAGGCCATCCCCGTGGCCGACGGCCGATGCGGAGCCCTCTACCTGGAGAGCTCGGGGCTGTCGTTGCACCTAATCGAGGGCGAGACCCAGCGACCCCCCGCTTCGACTCCGCCAGCCGCCGCCCCTGGCGCCTTCGAAGACCCCTCGCTGGGGAACAACGGACCAGCCCTGCAGAGGCAGGACATCGAGGCCATCCGCCAGCATGTCGAGAGAATTCCGTTCGCGCCCATTTGCCCTCCCTCCCCTGTCAGCGAATCCGCCCGAGCGGACAGCGAACCGCAGCCACTCTTTCTCGAGGCCCGGGCCTCGCCGGGGAAGGCGACTTACGTCCCGGCGAAAGACGCAGTGTCTGAGAACGCGCCTGCGCCCGGCACGACCCACAGCACTCCCACATCTTGCGATAGTCTCGCGGCGACTGATGGGGGCGCGCCCGCGAACGAGGGCGGGCGCAGGTCCGAAGGCGAACGCCAGCGAGAGGGGCTTGTCCCCGCATGCCACAGTGCAGCGTTCCTCTCTGCCCCAGCTGCCGAAGGCGACCCGGCCCCTGCCTGGCGGCCAACCGCGCGGCCCGCGCCGACCCGCATGGCCCCGCCAGGCGCCCCTGCCCCAGTTGCCGCCGTGCCGCGCGAAGCCATGGGCGTCTCTGGCGGCGGGCCCAGCCAGTCGGGGCCGTCGCAGAATAGCGAGCAGCATGCGGAGCAGGAGCCAGAAGAGCCCGATGAGCAGGAGTTGCCCGCCGTTCACGGGGAGGGCGCGGAAGTGGCGCCCGCGCAGGAATTGGAGCATGGGCATGAGCAGGAAGAGGCAACCACCCACCGCTACACTCCCCTGGCTGGCACCCCCCACCCTGGCCCCTCCCCCCCTGGCAATGGCGCAAGCTCGAGCGCCGAGGAACGACGGCAGCGCGGCCGAAACGTTCCTCCAGCGCGTCTGCCTGGCAGCGGGTGGACGCCCTAACTGGCCTCTGCGACTGACTGGCGACCCTCCAGTCCCCCCGCCGCCCCCGGGTCGAAACCTGGCCCCTGGCGACGCCGACCGCGCTGGCGGGTCTGGCGGACGGCAGACGACAGGCGACGGACGCAGCAGCAGCAGCCGCAGCAGAAGCAGAAGCAGCAGCAGCAGCCGCCGCGCCAAGGACCAGCCGCTGACCACCCCACCCTGGGAAGCGAGGCCCGCCGCGCGCCAGTGGCCGGCAGCAGCGCTCCCAGGAAGGGCAATGCGCAGTGGAAGGTCGTCAGCTCTAGCACTGCGGGCGCGCCCGCCCTTGTTTCACCCTAGTCGGCCGTTGGCTGCAGTTGTTTTCACCCTGGCCATTGCCCGGACCTGTCCACGTTACGGCCTGGCTCAGTTCCCCCGGCACTGGCCCCTCCGGGCCCCCGCTGGGGCGGGGGCGGCGTGCCTTCGCGGCCTCGGCCGTTGGCTGCGCTTGTTTCCACCCTGGCCATTGCCCGGACCTGGCCACGGCCTGGCTCGGTTATCTCCTGGCACTGGCCCGTCTGCGGGGCGTCTCCGGCTCGCGCCTTCCTCGGGCAGCCGGGCCCGCAGCGGTCCTGTTGGCCCTGGCTTCCTGCCCCCCCTGCTCCACACGCCCAACTTCCTCGTTGGCGCATGGGGCCCCCGAGTGCACGTGGTCCAGCCTGTGCTCTCTGACCGCCGGCCGACTGCGTTGACTGCGTCCACGGTTTCCAGGTGGCGTGTCCACGACACTTTCCGTGTTCACTCGGCCACGTGCTTGAGGCGTGCACTTGCCCAGTTTTTGGTCAGTTGTCCTAGTTCGGGAGTGCGCGTGGTTTCCTTTGATCCGTTGTCTCAGGTTCAGTTACGGTGTTGCTCACATCCATCGTTTCCCTGGCACTCCGCTTTGCCGTTCGTGTTCACTCTGTTCACGGTTCCACGACAAGCGTCTGGATTAGCACTCCCTTCAGGAGTCTCGTTGCGTGCGTTTTCGGTGGCGCCACTTCCATGCACTAGTTTCCTGGTCAGTGAGTTCTTCCTGGCCTAGCTGGTGTCAGCGCTCGTTCGTGATGGTGCTCCTGGCTTCATCCTGGTATCGCTCCCGCGCGATTTTGGCTGCGCTCCATGCTTGGTTCGCTAATTATGCATGCGCTCGCTCCTGGACCTGTTTCCTGGCAGCTGCAGCCCGCACCACCTCTCGCATCCGGTCCGCTTTGGTGCTGCTTTGGCCACCGGTTAGCCGGCGCGTTAGGCAATTAGGTTCGCGCGTAGCCCGCCCGACCCGACTCGCCGCTGGCGCTTTCGCCTGCGGCTGCGACAAAAAAGTCTCCCCACCAGCCCATCCAGAAACGACACCCAGGCGAGTAGAAGGCCGTCCTGAGGGGCTTTTCGGCGTCTTGGGTGCCTCGGGGGGGGCTGGCTCTTTGGGCCGCTTGGGATCCTCTTGGGGGCCTGGGAGCCTCCTGGGGGCCTCTTGGGGGCCTCTTGGGGCCATCTTGGGGCACTCTTGGGGCCTCCTGGGCGCTTCTTGGGGCCATCTTGGGGTTCCTCAAGTACGCCCCCCCCTCAGGAGGCCAAAATGGGGTCAAAACCTTTTGTAAAATCAATGATTTTGGTTTCCTCGCCCAGGCCGTTTTGGACGCTCTAACTACCCGCGGCCCCCCCCCGTCCAGGTCCACGGGGAGGGGATTGGGTGAAGTGTAAACCCCTCCCCGAAGGGGGAGAGGGAGGAGCGGAAGAGGAAACGCCCTAAACCACCGACGCCCGAAGGGCTGGTGGGATTACTCCGACAACGCGACAACACGACAACACGTCGCACAGCAACCAACAACTACACGCACACGGCAATACAACAACACGACAACACGAAACCGTCAACACATCCCAGGCCCATTACCAACCAACCGACCAGCCAACCAATCGAGTCCTCAAGCGACCACGCCCATCAAAGCATGACAAGCAAGGACTTCAGGGACAAACAGGGTCAAACAAGGACAACCGAGGGCTGTGAAGGACAAAGTGGAAAAACAGGGACATGATTTAGCATCCGTATCGGCCACATGGATAGTACGGACGGTGGAAGCCCAGGAAGGAGGAGGAGGAGGAGGAGGAGGAGGAGGAGGAGGAGGAGCAGGAGGAGGAGGAGGAGGAGTCCACAGGGTCGCATCTCACCTTCCGCCCCGCTCCGCGGCTCGGGCCATCTGCGCTCGGGCCTGCGCCGCATCGTACAGGGGCGCGCGGCGCGCGGGGCAGCGGCGCAGCTTGAGACCTGCTGCAGGGCACTTCGCGGGGCGACTCCGACGACGACCAGAAGACGAGTGCGAAACCCAGACTTCCTCGCGTCGTCACAGAAATCACGACGGAGGTTTTTCTCCTATTTCGGCCTCAGGGGGCCATCACGGGCCCTCGGGACCGTCAAAAAATGACTCGGGATGAATATCCGGTCCCGGGGAATGGGCCTGGACCTCGGGGGGTCGCGTCATGAAACAATCATGACGTCGGGGGTCTGGGAGCGGAGCAGTGGTGCAGTTTAAGACCCGCTGGGGGCACTTCGCAGGACGACTTCGATGACGACCAGAAGACGAGTGCGAAAGCCCCGCTGAGCCAGGGAGATGGCTGCGCTGGCTGCGCGGTGCTTGGGCACCATATGCAATCATCTGCGACCGGCGCACGGGCAGCAGTCGTCCTGCCTGACCGTCGGCTGCGCTAGCCAGGGAGAAGGGTCGACATCCCCCGCTGGCTGCACGGTGCATGGGCACCATATGCAATCATCTGCGGCCGGCGCACGGGCAGCAGTCGTCCTGCCTGGGCGGCCTGCAGCCCGTGCTGGCGCGTGCAGGCTCGGCCCCGTCAGGAGCCACGCCAGCGAATTCTCCAGCCCGGGAGGCATGGGCCAGTCGGTCTGTGTACTGTCGGCCATGATGGGCGCCTTTCATCCAATATATGATTTCTTTTTGTTTGACCATCGCGTGGACCCGCGGTTCTTTCACGGCAGCTGATTTTTTTGCGGTGGGGCAGGTTCATGCTTTGTGTTGTCTACCGCTTTGTATGACGCGCACTCGTCTCATTAGTCCCACCAGCCCTCTGGGCGTCGGTGGTTTAGGGCGTTTCCTCTTCTACCCCTCCCTCTCCCCCTTCGGGGAGGGGTTTACCCGTGCCCCTATCCCTTGCCCTGGACCTGGACGGGGGGGGGGCGCGGGTAGTTAGAGCGTCCAAGATGGCTCAAGATGGTTCCATGAGGGCCTCAGAGCAGCCCAAGATAGCGTCGAAGATGGCTCAAGATAGCGCGAGATGCCTCGATGTAGCTCCGAAGATGCTCCAAGACGCTCCAAGACCGCTCCAAGACGGGTCTAAGTGGCCAAAAGAGCTCCCCAATGACGCCCCGACCAGGCCAAAATGCTTCAAAACCATGGGAAAATCATTGTTTTTGGCGTTATCGCTTTTGCGCTTCCGATGCCCATCCGAGGCCTCAACATCGCTCCAAGATGGCCCAACAGGGGCCCAATAAGGGACCAAGAGAGCCCCAAGACGGCCCCAAGAGCGCCCAAGAGCGCTCCAAGAACGCTCCAAGATGGGTCTAGGAGGCGATTCTGGGTGCTCTTGAGGTGGGGGTAGGAAGGGACCCAGCACCTCGCGTCTCACCAAGCCCGCTATTCCACGGCGTGCTCCTCCGCGTCCCTCATCACGGCAGCTCGTATGGGCATCGTTTTTTCGGACGGGTTGGTGGGGTCACGCGAAGCGTCTAGAGTTCCTTCGATGCTCCCTTGGGCCTTCGGCTGCGCGTGTATCTGAGCCCTGAGTGGTATCTGAAGGTTGTGTCAAAGAGCTCGTGAGAACACGAGTGATCCTGCGCCTGTGTGCACTGGATTGGAGTTCCGAGGCGTTCAACTGGTTCGTGTTTGGCTTGGGCTTCGCGGTTACAGAAATGACGATGGCATCCACGGGATTATCCGACAGGTTCATGCCACAGACACTACGACTTCAACGAAACTACGTCACTTACATCGGTCTACAACAGAGGAGTGGGAACACTTGGAACATCAGCTCGTGAGGTACGTATTATCCTGAGCAAGCCTCCGACGCGCGCTGCCTCTCATGCGAGGCCATTGCCTCACCCACCTCGCCCGGAAGGGGCCCGGGCGCATGCCCGCACAGGCGATCCGATCTGATCCGATCGCTGCTCCAGCGCGGTGATCGTGCGTCATCTAGCTAATGGGCGCCGCGGTTGGTACAATGACGTGCCCGCAGCGTGCATAGTTTCAGGTGGTCTCTGGATGCCCAGAGGTTATCCAAGCCGCCCAAAACTTGCCCTTCGATCTTCGAAAAAACGCCATCATCATAAACTTTTGGCGCTCCGCGCGGATTTCTTGGATCCGCGCTGTGCCCCCCCGTTGCGGGGCCTCCAGCGCCGCCCCTGGCGCGCTCCGCGCGCCAGGGAGGGGGGCGCAGCGCGGATCCAAGACATCCGCGCGGAGCGCCAAAAGTTGATGGTTGTGGTGTTTTTCTTCTTCTATGGGAGGGTGGGATGGCGGGTGGGAGGGTGCGAGAGAGGGGTGAGGGCTCCTTCTTGTCTGCGACAGCTTCTCCAGGAGGGGAGGGCCCAGGGCCGGGCGCGCGCTCGCGCCAGAGCGTGCCGCGCAAAAGCCACCCGTGCTTCCTGCAGCGGGGACTTGTCAAGAGCAGCCAAAACAATAGTCGGGGGACGTTTTTTATTTTTTTGGAATCTTTTTCGACCACGTTGGACCAGTTTTCGGATATTTCATTTGTCGTCCAAAGTCCGCCTGCTGGGGGGGAGGAGGAGGAGGAGGAGGAGGAGGAGGAGGAGGAGGAGAAGGAGGAGGAGGAGGAGGAGGAGGAGGGGGAGGAGGGGGGGGAGGAGGAGGAGGAGGAGGAGGAGGAGGAGGAGGAGGAGGAGGAGGAGGAGGAGGGTCCGACCGGGCCCCAGCGAGCGCGGGGTACGTACTTGAAGTCTTCTCTCCAGTGCAGAGCGTCGCCGCTCGTCATGATATGTTTTCAACAGTTCTCTTTCCCGGCGCCATCTGGACCGGGCAATGCAAGCACTTAGTCCGTTCGTTGCCATTTTTAAAGAACGTAATTCATTAATTTTTCAATCTGTCCCTTGCTTCTGAAGGTGACGCCCGCAATATGCGATTGGTTCCAGCTTCTTCAGGGAAAGAAAAAAACACATTTCCTTCCTGGCAGTCCTCATGAACCATATGCCTCACCCCCCCGTGGGCCCTGGAAATCCAAAGACTTGTTCTTCCCCGATCAGTGCTTGCACTGAATGGGACCCAGCGGAGATTGCAAGATTCGGCGAAAATTCGGGGCCGATTTCAGTGGGCGGCCGTCCCGGGTTCCCGGGTTCTGGGTTCCGTGGTTCTTGGTTCTGGGTTCCGGGCCGATCTCGGTGGGCGGCGGGGTTCCCGGGTTTTTGGTTGATCTTTTTATCGATCGGTTTTACCACTGATTTCACTACCCACTTCTCTATCGATACCACTATCGATCTCACAATCGATCTCATTGTCGATTTCAGAGCGATTTCACGATCGATCTCACTGTCGCTCTCATTGAATCGACTTCACTATCGGTCTCACGGTCGACCTTACAATCATCCTCACTACCTATTCCACAATCGATTTCACAATCGGTCTCAATATTTACATCACTAATTGTCGAACCATCCACTGAAGGGGGTCTTTCTCTGGTGTTATTTAGATACGTGCCCCCCGGGCATCCCGACCCTTCCCCCTTGCTCCGCTCTTTTGCATCCCGAGCTGATTCTGCAGTCCCACGGCCTGGCGAGGGCCCACGGCGGCCCCAAGCGGCGAAAGGCTGCTGCGTATGTTTCCCGACCGTCCCGTGCCGTGGGGTCTTCGTTTTGGAGAGGCAGCGCCCCGCGACACCTCACCTCGCTCCCGCCCATCTCCCTCTTTGCTCCTCTCCTTGCGTAAGCCATCCACCGCATGCTTTCATCGTCACCATCATAACCATCTTCACCATCATCACCACCACAGACACCATCACCATCACCATCACCATCACCACCACAACCATCACCACCACCAACACCATCATCACCATCATTATCATCACCATCACCATCACTATGACCATTACCATCACCAGTGCCATCACCACCGGCGCAACCATCATCATCATGACCATCGTCATCATAATCTTTTTTTGCGATCACCATCATCATGACCCTCCTCACCCTCCTCCTCCTCCTCATCATCATCATCATCATCCTCATCCCCTTCCTCTTCCTGATCCTGCTCCTTCTCATCATCATCATCATCATCATCATCATCATCATCATCATCATCAGCATCATCATCATTACCACCACCAACATCATCACTGCCATCGTCACCCTCATCGTCATCGTCAACATCATCATCATCATCACCATCAGCATCAGCGTCATCATCATCATCAGCATCATCATCATCATTATCTCATCATCATATCATCATCATCACATTACCCTCAGCATCAGCACCATCATCATCACCATCACCATCACCATCACCATCATCATCATCAGCAGCATCACCATCGTCATCATCATCATCATCATCATCATCATCATCATCATCATCAGCATCAACATCATCATCATCATCATCATCATCATCATCATCATCATCATCAGCAGCAGCAGCAGCAGCATCATCATCATCATGATGTCGGCGCACCCCTCACACGTTTCGTGACCTCACGGGGAGCCCCCACCGAAGGTCTCTCTGGCAGCGCCCGCATTTCGTCACCCCGCCTGTTGCGGCACACCCCTCACGCGTTTCGTGGCACTTCTGGGAGCCACCACCGGAGGCCTTGGTGGCAGCGCCCGCATGGCGTCCGCATGGCGTCGCCCCGCACACTTCGACGCACTCCTGGCGTGTAGCACTCACTCATTCGCATGGTTTGGCGATTCGCCAGGGCAATTGCAGTCCGTTCAACCAAGCGCAGCCCACAGGCTCAGCAAGCGCCCCACCAAGCGAAGCCCGCAGGCGCCCTGGAGGCCCCGGGACGGTCCCGCTGCATTGCACGTCCCCATCGTGCAGTCCGCAGCCTGCCGAGCTCAGCCTGGCCGAGCGGAGGAGGAGGAGGAGGAGGAGGAGGAGGAGGAGGAGGAGGAGGAGGAGGAGGAGGAGGAGGGAGGCGGAGGAGGATGGAGGCGGAACAGAGGAGGGAGGAGGAGGAAGAGGAGGCAGGAGGAGGAGGAAGAGGAGGAGGAGGAGGAGAAGGAAGAGCAGGAGGATGAGGAGGAGGAGGAAGAGGAGGAAGAGGAAGAGGAGGAGGATCGGAGGAGGAGCAGAAGAAGAAGAAGCCGAATAATAATACTACTACTAATAATCAGAGTAATAGAAAAGAAGACAATTAATAATAATAGGAAGAAGAGCACGAGGAGGAGGAAGAAGAGGAGGAGGAGGAGGAGGAGGGCGAGGCAGGAGGAGGACGAGGAGGGCACACTCCTGCCTTCTGATCTCCCACTTGCATCTGGTTCGGCTCCCTCGCCGGGACCATTTCAGTC